TTATCTGTAATGTCCTAACTCTTAACTCCCTATTCTCTCCTTTATTTTCAGTAATGCACTTAGGCATATTTAAAGTTGGGGAGTGAAGGGATGTGGCTGGAATATCACAGGTTGGAATATACAGTACCCAGTACCTTTGTATAGAGAATCAAACACATTTTTTCACAGCAACTCTATGAGGTAGGAAATCCAAGTATTAGTATCCTTATTTTACAAATGTTTTAGAAAACTGAAGCTTAAAAACTTAGGGCCTACTACCTTGTTCACTGGCCTAATAAGTCTATCCAGTTTCAGTGCCAAGATTTGAAGTGTTAATAGTAAATAAGATTTTATTTGGAAAACAGATCAATAACGGGGTCATTAAAATATTTTTGATTAGTATAGTGATAAGATGAAAATATTTTAGAACAATATCACTGTGTTTCATAGAATAATAGGTTGAAGAGGCAAAAGAGTCCAAATTCAAATCATTCCCTTGATCAAAACTTCTTCAATGATTCCACTGTTTGATAAAAGTCCAAATTCCTTGGTCTTACATTAAGACTCCTTAGGCAAGATGTAACTGCAACCTTTCTAGAATTATCTTCCCCTATTCCCCTAAATAAGCCTTCTGTTAGTTTACTGACTGTCCCTGAAACTGCCTTTCCTGCCTATGTTTGTTTGGTTTTTTACCTTTTTATATAAACTTAACAAACAGACAGTGAAAAAGTCAGTGAGAGGAAAAGAAGCAGAATAATCCCTGTTGTCAAGGAATTTATATTCTTCGAACTGTGAGGTGGCACAGAAAGGAAGAATGCCCCTTTATAGTTAAGAAAACCTGAGTTCAAATACTGCCTCAGACACTTGCTGGCAGTGTGCCCCTGGGTAAGTCACTTAGCCTCTTGTCTGCCTCAGTTCCTCACCTGTAAAATGGGAATAGAAACACCTACCTCACAGGGTTGTTGGGAAGATCAAATGAGATAACATGCATACAGCTCTTTGTAAACCTAAAGTGCTACATAAATGCCAGCTATTCCGATTGTTATTATTATTATTACTCTAGCTGAAGAGACAACATGCATACAAATAACACATAAAATAAGTACTAAACAAATACACAGTAGTTAGGGAGGGAAGATACTAGTGATTGGGAGAATCAAGAAAGGCTTCATGTAGAAGGTAATGCTTGAGTTATATCTTAATGCAAGACAGGGATCCTATAAGGGAAAAGAAGAGGGTACATTCCAGGCATGGAATGTAACAAGTATAAAAACACTTAAGAAACAGAACAGACTACCATTTGTGATGGACAAAGTACCACATGTGAAGGCCAGTTAGGCTGAACTTTAGAGTGCTAGAAGTGGAGTATGGCAAATTGAGGCTGGAAAGATAGGTTGCAGTCAGGTTTCGAAGGGTTTTAAAAGCAAACCAGGAGGTAACAGGGATAAAAAAGGCGTTTCCTAAGTAAGAGGAGTGATATGGTTCAGATCTATACTTTTAAGAAAATCACTCAGGCAGCTATGTAGAATTATTCATTGGAAAAGAGAGAGACTTGAGACAGGAGGCCAATTAGGAAGCCACTGCAAAAGTCCTGTTGAAAAGTGATGGGATCCTGAATTAGGATGGTGGCTGTGTGATTAGAAAAAACATGGGACTAAAATTAAAATCTAATGATTTCTTGTCCAAAGTCATCTAGAACATAACACATCATCTTATGCAAATTATTAATTCAACCCAAAAAGAGTAATTAGGATGGTGGCTGTGTGATTAGAAAAAACATGGGACTAAAATTTAAATCTAATGATTTCTTGTCCAAAGTCATCTAGAACATAACACATTATCTTATGCAAATTATTAATTCAACCCAAAAAGAGTATCAGCTTGTTCAGAGGTGACAGTGTGGTATATATGACAAAGTGTTGAACTAGGAAAGACTTGGGTTCAAGTCCCACCTCAGATATTTACCAGTTGTGACCAGTTTCCTAATTACTAAAATAGAGATGACACTAACACCTGCTTCATAGCATTATCATAAAATTCAAATAATATAATGTAAATAAAACAATCTGAAAACCCTTATATGCTAATAGCATATAAATACCAGTAGTACTAATAAAAGAGTAATCATCACCACTATCACCACCACCACCAAGATTCTCCCCACTATAAAGAACACATTGATAAACTCTTAACTAGAACATTTCTTAGAGTTGTAATATAGCCCAGTGACCTTATCCAAACCATGGGTAGATAGGCACCTGGGGTAAATGTTAGTTGTACCTTTTCTTTTTATCCTTGGTGCCTCCTTATTTCTTTGTATTTCCTTTCTGTTCCCATCTTCCTTTTTCTGCCATAGGGCTTAACGGTTACTGTTAGCTAACTAAAATTTAGTGTGTAGACTGAGTTTGAAGTTTCAATCTGTTTTACAATAAACCCTAATGTAATAAGATATATACTGCAAATTATCAGGTATAGTGGCAATATTTCAATTTAACAATTCTCCTTTTCAAAAAAAGTTCATTAAAATGAAGGAACTGAATTAAATCATTTCTAAGATATCTTCAAACTCTTGATTTATTTTTGAATGTAGGAGTCAGGGATTATAATAACATGACATTTATGTAGGGCTTTAAGTAAAATATCTCATTTGAATCTCATTACAAGCCTATACTGCTAAACCTGGAATTATTCTCATTTTGCAAGATGAGGAAATTGAAACTTAAAAGGGTCAAGTGACGTGGCAACCATGTAAACAACTAGTTAAGTATTCAAACCCAATTCTCTCTGCATTCCAAGTCCAGAAACTCTTTCTACTAAACTCCTTCTGTTAATGTGCCTTCAGATGAAATTTAAAGAGTAAGAAGGTAAATTAAACTTGTAATTATTTCACCATACTTCATAAGGCATCTACAATTATCTCAGGGTGCCTTAAGATTTTTTAATTATATTAACTAATATTTTAATATATTTGTTAACTAATATTTTAATATAGTGTTAACTAATAGTTAATTAGCTATAATTCAAAGCTAGAAAAAAAGAACTCAAGATTGATAGCCAGATATTCTGAAGATGTGGGTAATCAAGAAAACAAAAATGCTTGAGTAGAATGTCACTACTCCAAAATGGTAGAGTAGTCACCTAAAGAAACAAAACACAAAGCATCTGTCTTACAAATTTTCACAATAAACTTCAGTTCTCCCATAATCACTAGACTAATTAAAAATTATCTATTCGACTGGTTCTAACACAAACTAAAAAGAAATTCTAAGTCACAGTTTCTCTCTTCTCTCATGAAATGGTTCAAACACAAGAATCTGAAGGCAGAATCTGACAACATGAACCTCTCACACAATTCACTATAGCAAAGCTAAGGTTTTGCCGTATGTCTTTTCGACTAAGACTTTTTAACTGCTGTCTGCCTCAGTTTCTTCAACTGCATAATGGCGATAATAATGGCACCTACTTCCCAGGGTTATAACCAGGATCGAATAAGATAACATATGTAAAGAAAGCTCTTGCCACATAGAAGACACTTAAATACGTGTTCCCTTCCTCTTCCCCCATCTAAAAAAAAAAACTTGCTGCCAACATTTTTAATTCTAGGAGGATCTGACCCGTTTTTTGTTGAAGGGGTAAACTGTCAAAAATGGAACAAGGTCAAACTTAAGAGACAAAAGGTTTCTACGGTATTTATTTGGCCAGAGGCTCCTCCCTTCCTCAGCGATAGCTCCCAGCCTAAAAAGTGGGCAAAACAAAAAAAATCTTCTTCACACAAAGGACCCACCTGACGGACCTGGTTATTTATGACCTTAATGTCGAAATCAAGTGCATAGGGAAGAATAATTATTTTTTCTCTCTTTTTAAAAATTTCATTAGGCTGAACTTTCAAAAAAGGAACCTGAGTGGGGGCACAAAAAAAAAAACCACCTCACAGCAGGAACCTGCTCAACTCAGGACGCCCCCAAACAAATAAATAAATGAAGCCCTTCAATGCGGCTCCCCCCGACAGACACCCCCAATCAATCAGCAGACTGGGGCGGAAGGGCAGCGAGGGTCAGGAAGGAAGTTCTGGGGCCAAAGTGACAAAACGAATGAAAGAGGAAGAAGCAGCCGGGCGCCCCGGAGCCTGGGGGCGCGGGGCCCCCGCACGCCTCGGGCCCCGAGCCCCGGAGCTCCAGGCCCGGCAAGTCAATAAGTCCCGGCGCGGAGCGCGGGGGGCGCTCGGGGAGCAGGGGAGGGAGGGGTTCGCCTCTTCCTGCGGCGCTCGGCCTAGGCTTGCCACTTCCCAAATTCTGGGTAATGGAGTGAGCTGGCGGAGAAGTTAGGGGGCGAGCAGGGGGCCGGGGACGGACAGGGCCCGGGGTCGCGGCTGGGGGAGGGGAAGCCGGCAGAAGTCAACAAACGCGAGCGTGGCGCGCGGGGGCGGGGGCGCGCCCGGGCGGCCGGCGGACTCACCTTCTGGGAGGTGCTCTGCTGCAGCACATTCTGCTCCACGGTCATGGCCCCCGCGGCGACTGCGGCTGCGGCTGCTCCCCCTCCTCGTCCTCCTTCCTCCCGCGGCCGCCTGGCTCTCGCTCGCAGGCTCTCGGTGTCTCCTTACTTCTGTCCTCTCCTCCTTTCCTCTTCCTCTTCCCCTTCCCCCCGAGGACAGCTCGGCCGGGCTCCGGGTGAGGATTGTGGGCAGGGGATGAAAAGCCGCTCCAGGCGCCTGGGGTCGGGAGGAGGGAGGGAGGGAGGGAGGAAGAGCGAGCCGGGGCGGGGGGAGGAGGGGGCCGAAGGGCGGTCCCGGACTCAGCGCAGCACGCCCAGGGCGCCCCGACGAGCCGGGTCCATGGGAGAGAAAGGGAAGGTGGAAGGCGAGGAGAGGGCGAGCAGGAACTCCGGAGCCGAAGAGACCGCGGCGGGCGGCGGCAGAGCGGAAGCCCGTCACTCACTGGGCTGAGCCGAGCTCCGGGAGACGGAGAGGGAGGGAGCGAGCCGCGGGGCTGACGGGCGAAAAGGAGGGAGTGGCCGGGTCCGGAATGGCGCTGTCCTCCTCCTGCCCCTCCCCTCCCCCAACTGCCGTCACGCCGCTCCCCTGGGCGCCCCGCCGGGCCCCCCCTCCTCCTCTTCCTCCTCGCCTCTCCCGGGCTGGACAGCCTTCCTCCGGGGCCTGCTTCCCGCTCCCCCCGGCCTCCGCCCTCGGAGCTCACATTGTGACTGTGGAGGCTGCCGCGGCCCCCCGGGACACACCCTGCGTCCCGGGCCGGACCACGGGTCACCCGGCTCCTTTCCGCCTGCAGCCCCCAGACCCAGAGTCCAGTCTCTGGCCCGGGCCTCGTTCAAGAAGGACCTTCCTCGGGGCCTCACCTCCCTGGCCTCGGCCCCGGGAGGAACCCCCCCCCGCCCCGTCGCCCTCGGGCGGGCCTCGGACACGGACACCCGCGATCGGGGCTCGTGGCTGCCCGTCTTCTTCCCTCTATCGGTGTCAGAGGGCAGACGTCCCCCGGCCCCCTCGCCTTCACCAAGTTCATTCCGAGCCTCCCGCATGCCGCCCTTCTCTCTAGGAATTTCACCAGGAGCCACGACTCTAGGCAGACTCAAGTGTGCATGGAACCCGGGACTGGAAGCCACATAGGTGGGAACCCCCTTCTAAACTGTCATTTGTCTTTGCTTAACTGAGGCCCCCCCAGCTCCTCTGTGACAATGACATCTGCCAGGATGAAGCTTTTCGTTTTGAGTTAGACACCTTCTCTGCAGCATGGGGGGGGGGCATTTTTTAAAAAAGAAAGAATACTGACAACTGATTCATAACTCAGCTATACCTTAAAATGTTGCCAAATTAGGTTAACGATTTAAAAATAGTTACAGCTGTACATATGACTTCATTCTTGGCTTCACATTTCGTTACCCCTACATAGAGGGGGGAGGGGGCGCCAGCAAAAACAGCTTTAGCTTCACAGTCTGGTGGGGAAAATGGAGAGGAACTGACATTAGCACAAACTATGCATATGTCAGTGTAATTCCAGTTATAATTTTAAATCTTCACTGGCACATTTTTTGTTTAATTTAATGACCAAGTCAGTCAACAAACATTTATTATGTATCAGCACTATTTAAAGAGTTTTTATTGGAAGACTTGTGGAAGTTTAACATAATCATATTTATGGTATTGAGATTGATAATTTTTTTCGAGACTGAGCACAAATAATAAAATTTTTAAATGATAAAAAATTAAAGGGAAATAAGTACATTATTTTTAATGTTATCTCTGTAATCCTGTGTCAAGACAGGGAAAGTTAGTTATCCTAAAGATCATTAGGTCAGAACTCATATTCATGCCCAGCGATCTTTTGTGATATGCTCTTTGAAGCTACATTTTCATATGTAAATAGAAATGCACTTGACCGACAAAACATTTTACAGAGAAGGAAAGTGAAGCCCAGAGAAATTAAATGATTTATCCAAGGTCATACAGGAGACAGGCAGGTGTCTTGACTCCCAATCCAGTATTCAACCTTGGATGGACAAGTCACGGCATTCTGTTGTCCACAACGTTCAGACTTTAGGGAAAACTAAATGGCCCCAAGCAGAAAATAGATTCAGAATAATATGATACTACAGGAGCGAATGTCTTTTTTTAAACTAGAAATTAGTGATAAGAATTTGGTAATTCCTACAATTTCAAATAATTATTTCTTGAGCACTAGGCTTCATATTTTGTGTCTCAAGTTGCTAGTAAAATTGTTCATCAAATAAAGTTCTTCTAGGGTTACCATATTTTTTCACCTGAATTCTAGTAAATTTCTTACTTTAAATATTTATTATGTTTTTAAAGCTTTAAAAAAACAGTAGTACCTGGAAAAATACAGATCATCAAATACTTTCAACTATATTACTGTATCACAGTTTTAAAAGCTTATAATTTTCATAGTGACCACAGAAAGAATGTACAGTTTTCTTTGTAAATGATTCATAAATAAAATAGACCACCTAACCTTTTATCCATGTTTTTATTTTGTTACTTCAAACACTTCAATCAGCCTGAATTATTGGATCAAACTAGGTTGCGGCTGCCGAAATACCTAGTGGTGACACAGTCTGTTAACCAGGAATGTATTTGATGGCTTTTCAGTGAGGTAGGTCGTGCCAGAATTTAAACTCTTCAGCCTTGTAGAACTGAGGTTAACTTTTATACCATGATGAGAGCAGAGCTTGAATAAAATTTTTTGAAGTGATAGATTTGACATAAAAGCCAATATTTATCTTAATTATTTACCAAAATTAACAGTAAAAGGGGAAAAAAAAGTTGATGAAAAACTATCCAGTAAAGTGTTTGAGTGTCTCAAGGATTGCTATTCCATTCTAGATCCCAGAAGTTATTTTTTAGGTTCTGTTGTCCATAGGAGGCTAAAAAATCCTTGAGTGTCTTTGAGATGAAAGGTCCCCCAATTATCACTACATAAAACTAATTACATTGTTACTAAGAAATTATCGAATCTGTTTCCCTTCAAATCAGTATTGTTTTCCTGTCTGTGATGTAGTTTACTCAATTTAGACTTTATGATGATAATTTATTTCTAACAACAGGATAGCAGTATGTAATTAAGTCAAAGGAAAGAATGTTTTCTATTGTCATAATGCTACTGTTCAGGGAGTTGAGTGTTCTAGAATAAATTCACTGAGAGCATAGAGTGGAGGATGGACACACAGTTGAGATGGATAAAGGGTAAAAAAAAAATAACATAATTTAAAGTGGAAGAAGAAATAATGATAGCTGATATTTATATAGCAATTGAAAGTTTATCTCAAAGTTGGTAATAATAGAAAAACATTAAGGAGCGTATAATTAGTGAATTCGTCTGCTGAAGGAAAGGTTTCAAACCATTATGTATTCCAAGCTTTTGTTAGTATTTTAATGAAACTTTCAGTGGTACCATTGCACTTTGTATTTTTTACTGACATTTTCAGTTTGAATGTCTGTATAAAAGATCTCTGTGAAGTGGAAAAGTCGTACTATAATCTTATAATAGGTTATTGCTTTATAGAGAATTCTTTGGAAATAAGTTACACACTGAGAAATAGATCGACCCTACCAATTGCATGTCATGTACTCTCCCCACAGACTTTCTCCAACTTAGATTTGCTCTCTCTTAATCAAATATTCCTCAGAGATCTCAGATTCCATCTTCCCTGACCTTCACTCTGAATTGTACACATGGTAGACCCCAACTGTCAATATGAGTAGAATTGAAAACAAGTTCCCAACCCCCACCAGTCTATATTGGCAAATAGTCACATAGATCAGAACATGATTAAAAGTAGTGGTGTCAAACTCAAGTAGAAATGGAAGCCACTAAACCATACCTAAGGATTCCTGTAGCTGCATATTTCCTTAGAAAAACACATTGTATTTTTAATTATTTTGTTAAATCCCACCTGTAGTTTAATGTAATTAAAATAGTTCACACTGTACTTAATGCCGCAGACAACATGTTTGACACTCCTGGAACAGGATTTTATACATTTTAATCCTCTTTATTCTCACCTCCAGAGAGCACTGGTTCAGCATGTGTCAGTTCCAGACACTCCATTTCAAGCTTCCCAGAAGCTCTCCAGTGAAGGGGCAATCCAGAATTAGATTTGAAATCTGACCACCTGGATCATATACATACTTCCAGGGCTGCTTTGCTGCAAAGCTTTCACCCTTTAGTACTAGCCACTCTGGAGATTACTTAGACTGGAGGAGTTCAGGCCAACAGTAATAAGGTCATTTTGCCAATCTAAATACTGGATCAAGTAATTCTGAGCTTTATGAACCAGCATGATTAGCCAGTTTACTCCAGTTTGGTAGTTAACAACCTCTGGAACTTGTTTCTATTTGTTACCACTTTGCTTTTTTTTCTCAGGAAATTATAACTTTTAGGGAAATGGACCAAGAGACTTCTTATACCCTATGAGATTCTATTAACTCTTTGGAAAATAGGATAGAGGAGAAAGGTTTTATTTCACTTATTTTTACTCCAACCTCTTTGAGATCAGCAACAGTAATTGTGTTAGCATAAAGCAGTCCTCTGATAAGAACATCACAGTCAACTTTCTTGGCTCAGCCTTGCCACTTATGGATGCAGTGGATGTGTGATCTCATTGCTAAGAGTTCTCCCTCCAAATGTACAGATTGCCATCACTCCAGACCTCAGACTGTGTTTCTCTTGCCCATGTCTTTCCATAAATCATAGTGTATACCAAAGGCTTACTCTAGTTCTTATGGTTAATGAATACCAGAGCCGGCTTTCCCTCTGTTATACTTCACTCTGTATTATCTTTTCCAGTCATATGTATCCCTACTGATGTCTCTTATACAACTTCTCGCATGTAAGTCATTGTTGGTAATGCAGAGCAGCATACTTGTGTCCACCTACTAGTGTCTTTTAGTTGTCCTCTGAGTCACCTGCAATGTTAATTGTAACATCACAAAGTTCTATGATTCTTAGACACATAGCTTTACAAGAATAATGGTGTTTAAAAAAATGTGCCTTTATGGCAATGATACACTTATTTATTAAAATGCTTAGACATTTTCACAAATCCTATTTAATCCATCAGCTATAAGTTGTCCAGGAGGGAGAACTGCCCAGTTAGTTGTGGTAATCTAGGGGCAGCTGGGTGGTGCAGTGGATAGAGCACTGGCTCTAGAGTCAGGAGGACCTGAGTTCATGTCTGGTCTCAGACCAGACACATAACACTTATTAGCTATGTGACCCTAGGCAAGTCACTTAACCCCAATTGCCTCACCCCCCCCCAGAAAAATAAAAAGAATTGTGGTAATCTGAACACTGTGCATTCTTTGTTTTAACACTGGATGATTAGAGCAGATATCTACTCTTCTGGGTCTCAGTGAGAAGGCCCAACTGCCCAAAAGTATTAGCATCTGTAGAACCTCCTGTTAGTAGGGTATGGCACTCCAAAGGCTGGCGGTGAGGATGCCTTGAGTGGGAGCACTGCCCATGAGGATGCAGATGCTAGAATCAGAGAATTGGGGTACAGAACTGGAAGAGAGGAGGAAGCAGTACAATGGATAATAAACCACCTCACTACCCTACCACAAACTGCTTACCTTTGGCATCACTTTAATAGCTAGGCATTTTTGGAAAAGCTAATAGACTTCCCATATTGAAAGGGAAGAATTAGGTAGATTTACATACCTGACCTACCCGAAGGAGCTCATCTGAGTAAAATTATAACAATCTTCTGTCTTTGAAAGTTTCTAGATTATGTTGTTGCAAGTCCAGACCACACAACCATCATCCAGAAACAGCTGTGAAGAAGAGTCATCCACACTGGCAAGCAGCTGCCGCACACAAAGCAGCACCCTGCCTAAACTAAGCAGCAAGGAGGCTTGAGAGAGAGTCAGGTGGCAGCATGTGCCAGGATAGTCAAAACACAACCACCTTGACCTACCTAGCATGTCCCCTCAGACCCTGAAAGATGTAGCCCAAGACCCTGAACCCAAGAGCTTTGGGAATAATATTGCTCTCCAAACCACCACACCTGCTTTCAATCAAGCCCTCTTCCCCCCCCAAAAAAAATGTCAAAGGGTCCCACTTAGTGCTACCAGCAAAAACTGTTGACAACTGCCATAACAGGTAGATAAACACAGGAGCCCTAGGAGAGACAGCACTCTTCAGACCACCTTTCTTTCTTCTAGTGCAGCCCTCATAGCTATTTTCAGAAGAAGCAAATCCTGTGGAGAAGGGGTCAATCATCCTTCCCAACTGTTATTCACAGGGCAGGCAAGCCAACCTAACTGAAGCAGCAAGGTATCCTGAGGGAAAGATAGGAGACAGCATGTGCCAAGCAAGTCAGACCACCATTACGTCCTTGACCACCATCTCCCCTCAGACTCTTATGGAAACAACTCAAGATCCTGAACCCAAGAGCCCTGGGAATAGTAATGTTTCCAGCCTACTACACTCAGCCATCTTCCAACACTCAGCCTAGTAACACCAGCCTTTGTGGAGAGGTACCCTAACAAGTGCTCCTGCAGATGCTACAGGCACAAGTACTGAAGACCCAAAAAAGCAAGTTCTTGCAATCAAGATCCTTGACACTGTCAAATGTTCAGCATCTTGAACTGATATGATTAGATCAGTAGAAATAATATCATAGAAGGGGCATTACAATCTGATTTGCTGTGCTGTACTCTACAGACCATGGGACCTTTCCATCTGACTTGCTGCCAAAGTCTTCTATGTGTTGTTTCATCTATTAGAATGTGAGCTCCTTGAAAGCAGGAACTGCCTATTCTATTAGTATCTCCAGAGCTTAACACAGTGCTTTGCACATATTAAACTTTTAATCAATGCTGTGTTCATGCAGGCCTAAGAATATTTCATTCCGGTTGGATTTTTCCCGCCTTTTCCTGTTTTTAAATTTATTGGCAGTTTAAATTTATGTTCCTATTTTCTGAACAGACAGCTTTCTGTTCTAAATTTGGGCTATTGCTGTGTGGTATTGTTTATCACTTGTGTAGCTGATTGATTTAGTATTTCTTGTATTGCTGTGTATGGTTTAAACATGATAATAAGGTGGATGTTAAATCATTAGAAAGTTGGTATACAAGCCAGTTTTTTAAAAAGTTCTTCTCTTTCACCCTCATCAAGAGGCTTCTTAATTCCTCTTCACTTTCTGCCATCAGAATGGTATCATTTGCATATCTGAGATGGTTGATATTTCTTCCAGCAACCTTTTGATTCATTTAGCATGGCATTTTGCGTGATGTGGAGGGTAGAAATGTCTGGCATGCTATGGCCTATGGGGTCATGAAGATTTGGACATGACCGAATGACTGAACAAAAACAAACTCAGCATGTAAGTTAAATAAAGTAACAATGTACAGCCTTATACCCCTTTTCCAATCTTAAACCAATCAGTCGTTCTATGTTCGATCTAACCAAACTGTTGATTCTTGGCCTGCATACAGGTTCCTCAGGAGACAAGTAAGATGAAGGCTGGGCATCTGAGCTGTCTTTAAAAGAAGGTTTGACAGGGAGATGTTTTTGGTTTTTGATTTTTTGCTCTGCCCTCTATCAGCAGGTCAGAGGCAACGGAGGGTACTGATGAAGTGTGAGTACCAAAGCTGATTCAATCTCCATGATGATGAGTTTCCTGGCAATGAGGTTTTCCTGGGGGAGGCATGATGATAATGGAATCGAATCCAAGCAAGAAAGCTGGTGGGGAATAAATCATCTTCCTGAACTCATCCTGTAGTGATTAACAAACTTCCATTGGTCACATCCTCCCCAACCCAGGGATCCTGAATCCCAAGCTATCATTAGTCAAACCCATTCTTTATCTCCCACTGCCCGTTCTCTTATTCCCATCTTCCTCAACCCATCATCCTCAGTGTTCCAATAGCTTTAACTACCTACCCATTCAGCTGTTCTCTTGGAACACTTGCTCCAAGGGCAACAAACTTGCTTTCATCTTAAAACTTTTATTTTCACATTCTTTTCATCTTCTGTACCTCACTGATACTTGGCTCCCTCCTTATGACATAGTCATCCTGGCCTGCACTCTCACTCATTCTCAACCCACTGGTTGAAGTGGAGAAGTGGCAATATTCTTTACTCCCCATTGCCATTTCCAGGCTCTTCCTCTACCTTCCATCACTCTCTAAACTCCACTTTGAGATTCAAGCCATAAGTACTGCACAATCAAAATTCCAGTAGCTGTTGTCTTACCTACCTCCAGGACACTCTCCTTCTTTCCTAAATGAGTACAGTGCCTAGCTCAGTCTTTCTTCAACTCCTGTCCTCATATTTGGGGACTTCAACATATATATTGATCCTACCTCAAACAGTCTTACCTCCATGTTCTCAAATTGCTCACTGTCTTTGAGCTACCTTTTCACTCTGCCTTAGCAACACAGATGGTCAAATCTTTGATCCTGCCATCATCCCCAAATGCTCTATTTCCATGTTTAAGATCTCCAAAATTACCTTATCTGGTCACAATCTGTTATCATGCTACCTGTCCCTCTAATTAGCAACCCCAAACCCTATTCTTCATCCTCACTGTAATCTCCAATCCCTCAACCCCTCAGTTCTTTCCCAGACTATCACCCCTATGCTAGCTGCCCTCTCCCTTACCCATCTTGACCTGCTAGTGACTCTATACTGTCTTTTTGTCTTGAATTCCTTTTCTCTTTATATCTAATCTTGCCTGCCAAGCCTTAGCCTGAGATTACTGCAGCCATTCACTACTCAAGTACTGCCAAATAAAGCTGGAGAAGATCATGAAATTATGCTGTTATCACTACAAATTTATGTTATATAATATCAACTGGGGCCTCACTGCAGGCAGGCAGGTTTTAGACCTCCCTATTGACTTAACTTTCTACATCAGCTTTTCCTAATATTTTCATTCCACTCTGCCATAAAACAGATGCAGATAGAGAGTGGTTTAAAAAACAATCCTACAATATGTTGTTTACAGGAAACATGTGAAGCAGAGAGAGACACACAAAGTAAAGGTAAAGGACTGGAACAGAATCTATTATGCTTCATTTGAAGTATTGAGAGCTTCCTCTTCTTCTCTCCCTAATTCACATCTCCCAGATGCCTTCTGCCTATATTTCTTTCAACTCTGTCCCACTCAGTAAGGTAGACTTTCTTCTTGCAAAGGCAAACCCCTCTTTGTGTATGTGATTCCATTCCATCTAACAGTTTGCCTAATCAATCATTACCATGCTCGCTTTTCTTTCATCTCTCTTATCTACTGGATGCTTCCCTACTGCCTACAAACGTCCATGTCACCTCCATCCTCAAAACAAAAAAACCACTTCATTCATATATCCATCCCAATTAGCTATCATCCCATATGTCTCCTACCTTTTTGGCTAAACTTCTTGAAAAGGCTGTTCAGTAGATTCCCCCGCTTCCTCTCCTCTCAGTATCTTATTCTTAACTCTCTGCTTTCTGGCTTCCCACTTCATCATTCAACCAAAACTCCTTTCTTCAGAGTTACTAATGATCTTTATTAATTAACAAATCCAATGACTTTTTCTCAATCCTCATTCTTGGTATCTTTAAAACATTTGACGCTCTCAGTTACTTTTCTTGATACTAACTTCTCTCTAATGCATTCATTATCTTCCCCCCATAAACCCTCTACTCATCCAGATTTCCCCCTTTTGAGGATACCAGCATCTCAATCACCCAACTTCACAACTTAGGTGTCAGTTCCTTACTTTCTCTAACCCTCCCACGTCCAATTTGTTGCCAATGCCTGTCAATTTTATCTTCATAATAATGGCTGTTTACATCTCCTTTTCTTCAACATTGCCACCACACTGCCACAGGCCCTCATCACCTCATGCCTAGACTATTGCGATAGCCTCTTGGTTTGTCTCCCTGCACAAACCCTTCTTCACTTAAGTTGATCCTTCACTCAGCTGCCAAAATAATCTTCCTAACCACAGTTCTGACCATTTTATCTACCCTTCTTTGTTACGCAAGAAAAATAATTGTATCTTTGATCACTAGATGCTGTTACTGGACGTACCTCAAGGATGTCCATCAGAGAAATAAAAATTTTGACATGCCAAAATATTTATAACTGCACTTTCTGTGGTAGCAAAAAAAACCAAAAACCCTCTGAAAATTAAGTATGTACATATCAACTGGGAAATTGATGGATAAACTGCAGTATACAAGTGTAATCTAATATTGTGCAATAAGAAGATGAATACAAGAAAAGGAAGTTGATGAAGTTCATAAGAAATTATAATTGGCTGCATGCATTTTAACTAAGCATTTAGGAAAGAGATGTAAACATTCACAAGTAGTCCAAAAAATCAAAGCTAAAAAACTTATGGAGGGTAGGCAAAGTTGTGTAGTAATTCACACCAAATGTGCAACATTTACAAATGTGTGTTTCTGACGCAAATGACAGGGATCTAGGTGGCACAGTAGATGAAGTGTTGGACTTTGAGTGATAAAGAGTGATTAGCACCCTTATAACAATTTCCGGTTGATATTTCCTTTATATCATTGATAACTGTCAAAGTCATATTACCAATAACACCACATTCTTCAATTTAGGTTCTGGTCTGCCAGAAACAATTTTATTTTAGTCTATATCCAAGCTATTTTTAGTTTCTAGAGAAAGATGTCCAAACTAACATAATCTTTCATCCCCTTAAACACAAGACAATTTCAGGTAATACTACAGGAATCTTGAATGAGGAAAACATATCTTAAAATATAGTCTGAGTTAACATTTCAGAACTGAAGAACCAAGTCACTCTTGGACCAGTTCTTTCATTCCTGGAGTTAACAAAGGGACCTCGTCTCTTCCATTGATATTTTAATCCTTTTTCAATGGAGTAGAGTTCTTGCTATCTGTTAATCACATCTGGTGGACAGTTGAAGAGGAGACTGCCTTTAGATGAGTCAATTACTAAATAACTTTGGGAGTGGAAGACAATGACAAATAAAACAAGTTATTCTTTGTTAAAAAAAAAAGTTTATTTTCATCTTTGATAGATTTCCATAAGAAAAATCTTTTTGTTCTCTTGTCTTGATCTATGACTCACCTTTTCAAGGGGTTAGACCTGGGAGTCTGGAATGGGCTTTAGAGAAAAAAAAATTATTTCTTAATATTTTCAGTTTTAATATAAAAAAGTTGTTTAATATACTTCTGCATATCCATTGAATATCAATTAGCTTTTACAAATGGATATTTACCAAAAATATATGGCAAGAACCGAAGTACAAGAGTATCCCACTGAACTTGAGGCACACTCTCCCTTCTACACTTTGATTCCTGGGGAAAGTGGGCTCAAGCTTCAAGTTACATAGTATTCCTTCTAAAAAGTTTACTTCCAGATGTGGTATATCCAAAACAACTTGCTTCCTTGTTTACAAGACAAATTCTTTGCTATTAGGCACATCCACTGCTGGTCTGGGTCAAACAGCTCACTCCTTAGGATTGTACTGGCTCAGTAGTTTTATCCACTG